CCTAATTGTTCTTTTTCAGCAGCGCCATATATATAGAGAGAGAGAGAGAGAGAGAGAGAGAAAGAGAGAGAGAGAGAGACCATTCCGTTCCTACATTCTCACAGGCTAGTTAGAGTGTGACAGTAAAATACTTCTAAATGTTATGTATTTTTTTAGTAAAAAATAAATCATTTGATGCAGTTTAGTTTGTCATTATTGATTTTGTTTCAAAGTTTTTGATTTTTTGTCTATTAGTCTATTATTATTTATTCCATGACTACGAAGAAACGAACTGGTTATCAGGGAGAGATGCATTATAATAAAGACGATTCTGCGATTTCTACTTTTCTTAACGCTAGTATATATTTTTTAACAAAATGATCTTTTCATCCTAAATCAAGCCGATACATCACTTCTGTATATTATCCAACATTTTTAAATATGCATAAATTTTTGAATATAACTGATACGATATTTCTCGCTTATCCGTTTAATTTCAAAACTATTTTACTTTTACACGTTGACTGCCGCACGCGTTTGCAGTGATATCTCCTTCAGGCCTCGGCTAAGTACTCCCACCGATATTTTAATAATGCGAGTCTCTGGTGGTCACAAGAATAATATCTCGCTCAGTTTGCATCCACTGTATCATATCTGTTTATTTGTGTCCGCTTCTGCTTCTCGCCACTTTACACCATTAGTTAGAATCTTTGCAGAGTAAAGAGGAGTATTTACCCTAATTCGTTGAAATTTTTTAAAGAAAAATGGAAAACTTATTTCTTAGTAAGTCAAATTGCAGTGAACAAGAAAACTTTTACGAGGCACACAATATTTTTCTTAATAAACCCATTTTTGTATTACGTTTATAACAATTCAATAGTTTGTTACTTCTTGTAAAATATCTTTTCAAATACATACGAATATCCTTCGCACGTTGTCAAATAAGCGTCACTCCAATACGGGTGACGCTGCCCGATCAGATACTCTGCTGTCACCTGAATATGGGTGACGCTTCCTGATCAGAAACTTTGCTGTTACCAGAATATGGTTGACGTGGCAGTCAACGCGTTAATAATGTAATGTAGAGTTTGTATATTGAAAATGTGTTACCGTGGCGACATTCCCTCCAGTTTTGGCGCTGATGAGGAAATGATTATTGGCGTAACCCAACTCGTAGATGAATGGCTGTATTTCTTCTTCTGTCAGCTTATCACTGGATTTTGAATCCCATTTATTGCCCACTTGGAGAGAAAAAGAATGATTATTTACAAACAATTACAAATTAACTGATACAGAATACAATAAATAAAAATGGTCGCGTAATGGAATGCTTCACTTTTCAAACTATAAACTTTTTTTATTTATTTAATACCAGATCTATATAAACCATCGCTATCGTTTTAGAAAGAGCTTGGGATGCCACCGGAGACTATTTTTGTAAAAAGTAGTAGAGACTCAATTTACTTTTATTTATTTGTTATCTTTTAAAATATTCAATTGTATGTACCACTATGACTTACATTTCATAGTATTCATATACAAAAATTTTTTGCAATTACTTTCAGTAGTATAAATTAACACTAAAATGATGTACGAAGTTGTCGATTTTGATTTCTTTTAATAAGCATTTGAATTTTATGAGTGTGCACTTTTTGTATTTTTAGTCACCCGTGGCAATCTCGAAAGGTTAATTGATAAAGTCTCTTTTATTTCCTCTAAGAAATTAAGTACATCGAAAATACGTAAATAACATCAATGTTCTCTCGGGGGAGCCTGTAACCCCTAGAGAGCGCGTCCCCAGGTGGCGGATCGGGGAATGCCTCCATCGGCTAATACCTTTGGGTGGTAGGAGGGAAATAAAATACCTCCCGCGGACCAACAGGCAGAAGTCCAACCTCTTCGTAGGCTCTGGCAACCCCCCTCCTCATGATGTTTTCAAATGTGTGTGCGAATAATCCCCTTCTGTTTGACAGGGCCATCAGAGAAAAAATTCACCTTAAACCCGAAGACTGTCTTATCAGAAACGAAACTCCCGCTATTGGAGTTGTTCCAGAGAATACGACAATCTGTCTAGAACTCATCGAGCCCTGCTCGAAAAAAGACCACGCGAATAAACTCAAGGAAATTGGGATGAAAACTATCGACTCTCTATCTGGCCTCAATCATGTCAGGGCTTTTACTGATGGATCTTCTGACTCCACCTTCACCAACGGAGGTGCGGGAGTGGTACTGCTCCTTCCTGATGATCAAAGACGAGAATTCGCAACTGGTGCTGGAAAAATCGCATCTAATTTTACAGCAGAATTGATAGCCATTTCTACGGCTATCGAAACGTACATCAATCTTGAACCTTCGGAGCAGCTTAGTGGTATCACCATCTTCAGCGACTGCAGGTCTGCCTTACAGGCCCTCAGCAAAGGTACCTCAAGCCTTGTCCTGAATATCATAGAACAACTTGGACAACTTCAGCGCCTCCGGAAAAATTGCTTCTTGCAGTGGATTCCCGCCCATGTGAACCTAGAGTTTAATGAAATAGCTGATTCCTTGGCTAAAAATGCCAGAGATCTAAATCAAAACTCAATCCCAACCACGTTGGCAGATGCAAATGCTTATGCAAAATCAAGACTATTCACCCCTTTAAAAATCAAAGCCCACGATCAAATAACTAATCTTGACATCGATAGGAAGACAGCCACTACTCTCATCAGACTAAGAACAAAACATCATAAAAACATGAAAATTTCTACAGATAAGACTAGAAAATATCAAAACTGTGGCAACTGTCTTAATGTGGAACTGACACCATATCATGTTTTTAACTGCCCTGCAGTCGCTGCAGGCCTTCACCTCTTAAACTACCCCACAGAAGAGGATTTGTATTCTTTTAATGCCATAGAAATAACAAAAACTATTCAAGCACACCATGAAATATGATTCTATAGAGGATACGACACCAACCAACCAACATCAATGTTTCCTCTCCGTGTAACGCAAATAGGGGTTAGTTCAGTCAAAACGTCCTCCACGAAGGCAAATTTCTCTCAATACTAGATCGAAGAGTTCCCTTGTCCTCTGGATTCAGTTCAAAATTACAAGGCTGCGGAGTTGAACATTAGTAGTCGTAAACCCGAAAAATTTAGTCTGCTGTTTAGCGACAGTTATAAAAATTTACGAAAAGGAAAGCGTTTAGAGAAGGTAGGTAGATACTTTATCTATGTCGCACTAGAGCTGCATAATGGGCTATTGACGACAGTCTGGGAAACATCCCTGAGGATGATCCGAAGACATGCCAAAGACATGCGATCGCTCTGCAGAGGGGAAGGCTCCCCTGCTTTGGTAGCTTGATGATCTGTGTGCAAAGTCGAGCACTTTATGGCAAAGCAGTTTAATGAGGGCCAATACCGCTCATCCTCGATCCCTACGCAGGCTGATCAAAGCATTCACCCTCCCGCTTACTGATCGCAGCCTGACCCTACTTACTGACTGATGCTTGATTTCGGTGTTCTACTGGGAACCGTGTCTTTACGATCAGTCCACTGCAGAAACGGAGAAAAGTAGGTGAGATTTATAGTATCATTTATGACAACATAAAAAAAACTTTGCCAAAAAATATCTTGAGTATTAATTTTTTCGAAGAAACATTTTTGTTGTTGTTGTTGTGTTAATTACTTGAATAATAGCGTGAGGAATAAGAGTTAAAATTAGTTTATCTAATAATGCTGTAAAAAAATAATTACTTGTACGATATATCAGCTTACCAATGACAATGGGTAAATGTCCGCAAATATGCTTCAATTCTTGAGTCCATTTCGGGAGGGCGTAGAGTGTATGCTTCTGCGTCACATCATACACAATAATCGCTCCGTGCGCCCCGTGGTAAAACCTGTACGGACATGTACGTGTATTAAAATTCAGAATCTAGAGATATAAATAAAAGGTAATGTGATGCACTCACGATTTAGTGATAGATTTAAACTTCTCTTGGCCAGCCGTGTCCCAGATCATTAATTTGGTAAGTTGTCCCCTGAATTCGCGATATACTGGTCTGTAGTCCACACCGATAGTAGGAGGAACATTCTCTGCAATCAGAAAAAATGGCTGTTCTTGCACTATTGTAATAATGATATGAAATGCAAACAAAAGACAACATAGATCAAACCTTAATATCACAAGCTTCGATAGAAAAGACGCATTTCATGTTCTAATAACAAAACAACCTATACATGATGATGTAAAAACTTCATTTACTTTAAATAAATATGAAGATGGTAAGAAATGTCGAAAGGTTTCGAGCGCTGAAAAATGGGAGCATCTTGTAAAGACTCGTCAGTCGTGAATGAGTAAATTAAATTGATTTGAAACAGAAAACGTAAAGTTACCAAAGAAATTCGTAAAATAAAGGTGAAAAACAAAACTGAAAAGAAAAAGAAAGAAAAACGCAGTGGTCGAGAGAGGCTAATCTGGTCGGTGCGCATTTCGAAGCGGTATGGAGAGGAATGGATAAAAAATCGTGAATTAGAGAATTTTATTGTTTCATTCATATGTCCTCATTCCTTGTTGACAACATGAGTTCTTCGATTCCTTCTCACAGAGCTTGGGCATTATGACCTGATTTGTCTCTCTTTGTCACTGCGGTTTTTCCAATTTTGTTCCTTCGTCTTTATTTTATAAATTTCTATGACAACTTTACCTTTTCTCTTTGAAATAACTTTTAATTTCCTCATCCTCGTCTGGCGAGTTTTTGAATGGTCACCTACTTTTTTAACACTCATGGCGACTTTTCTTACCATCTTCTTATTTTTTGAAACTAATGAAGTTTTTATGTCATTCATTATATTTTTGTTTTGTGATGATTCGTTTAATAAAATAACCGTTTTTATCGAATACGTTTCTCACACGTTCTCGATGACGAATTTTTGGAAAATTTTCATATGATTTCTCTGCACTTCAATTTCCTGAAAAGTGAATAAAGTTAATAAACTGTTAGATACCAAATTTCCAAACTTTTCTTTGCTTTGAAGTTAAAAACATGAGTCAATAAACAATCATCAAATTTTTATTCTGAGTTTGCTCAAAGTAAATAAGAAAAAATATTGCTCACGTTTAAAATGTATTATTATCTGACTATGATACCAAAAATCTTACTGTGCTGAGTTTAAAAACAGATGAATCATAAAAAATTAATTTATGTAAAGATAATACTAAGCTCAGGCCAAGTAAAAAAAAAGTGTTAATTATTAAAATGTATTCTCAGGTACTTAGAATGTTTTAAGGTTTACAATCCGAGTTTTCAAAGATTCGTCATGGAAATAATATGCAGTTTCTATGAAACTGCTTAAAAAATATTTTTATGAAAAGCTCATCAATTTTTTTTCCAAGTAAGGTTTTGTTACCTTCTGTTTCGAATGAATAATACACGTTATCAGAAAATACACACGTCATTTTTTTCCAAGTATTTTGTGATGATTATCTAATTGAAAAATCCTTAAGAGTTTAAAAAAAAAACTTGTTGGAAGCAATTGTTTATTGGAATTGATTTTTTCTGGCTCGAAGATTGCATATATTTTATTTTTGCCTTGATAAAGAATATTTTACAATGTCGTGTCTGAGAATGATTTTCGATTCAAAGCATTTTGACCCAAACTTTTCTGTCAAATATAAAGACCGACTACATTAAATATATTTCATAGTCCAATATCATAAGGATTGCTTTTATGTTTTTTTCCTTAATACATGTTTTCTTTAATTTAACTTTAGTTTTTATCGAGCACAGAAAAATTTTTATCACACATAAAAGAAATATTTGATAGAGAAAGCTCATTCTTCTACGAATTCTATATTGCTAACATTCTTTGCAAAAGTTTTTGAATCAATAATTTAAACTCTTTTTTTTAAAAACAGGAGAAAAAAAAACTTTCACAAACCTGAAAACCTATCGTCAGCATACCTTTGAAGGAGACAACTTTTTCCAACCACTAAAAAATGGACAAAATTATTTTTCATATAATTTAAGTTCAAATAAAATTGACAAAAGCAAAGTTTTTTTTGTACTTTTAATGGCATATTATAAAGACAAGTGTAGAAATAAAGGAAAAACAGAAAAGCAAAAACAAAATAACAATGAACCAATGTAATAATAAAATAATAATGGAAAATGAAATATAGTCAGTCTACAGTATAGTTCGTAGAATCTAATTAGAGTCCTAGTATTTTTCCCTAAGAGCGGGAAAATAAAGCAAGTGAAGCATCTCCTCTATCATTGGGTACTTTCACTTTACTTATGTCCACTCATGTGACCTATGACGTCAGCATCGGCTGATCGTTTATCAGCAAGATGGCGTGTTAAAGTTAAGCTAAGTTTTTCCACATAAGTTAGAATGAACGTGAAGTTGATTAAATACAGCGCTGTATCGTACAACAAATTTGCTGAAGTATAATCCTTTCTCGTCTACGTCTTTTACTTGACTTGGATTTATTATTTGTTTTTGTATTCTATTGTAACCTTAATTTTGTTTTGTGTACCTGGCAATTTCGATTCGTAATTAGTTTGTTTCTACATGGTTTCGTGTCTATCTTTGTGTAAATGTATAGTGAAAGAATTGAAATCTTAGTGAGAGAATTTTTGTGACAGAATATAAAATGCGTTTATGAAGAGAATTGATGCTGAACGGGCTTGGCTTACTCGAAATAGAATAGAAAGAAGAGTTGCTAACATAAACAAATGCCACTTTTCAACAACCCATCAGGATCGAGATACCCATACTACGTCACTTGTAGGTATCCCAATAGCAACAATGCAACTTGGAACACTGTTTATCGAAGGCAAATGTTTTAATAGAAGAAAGCATCTAGAAGAATATCTTAAAGGAGTCTCAAATTTATTTAAAAAAAAATCTAAATCAATAATACCTATTATTAAGATAATTATTAAATAAATTTTTTTATTAATGTAAGTGAATTTTTATCTCAAACTAATTTAATTCTTTTGAACCTCGAAACGCATAGAGAATTTTCTTTAGATAAAAAAACAACAACAACAATTTTTTCTCTTTTGTTTGAGGCAAAAAATTTTAAAATTAATGAAACTGTTAAAATTAATGTAATAAAATGTTTGAAAACATTTGTGAATTTCTGTTCAGTTGTTTTTCAAAATCTTTTTTAATTCAAGCCCTTAATCCATTCCTTCCCATTTTTGTCATCCACATATTATCAGTGATATTATGAACACTGCTTGATTTATAAGGTAGGTAGGTAAGTAGGGGAGAGTGGGGTCAATTGTAACAGGGTACGATTGTAACAGAACAAAAATTTCGAGTGTCGGGTTCTGGATTTGGTTCCTAGGTGGCACACAAGGTGTATTTAATTAATCTACATGTACAGCCCTGCTGGCAACCATTTTTATGTACTTTTGAAAGAGTTACATCACAAAAGATATTTTCACGCTACGTAAGTACTTTTTATGGTATTAGAATATTATATTGCAACAAAGTAATTTTGTTTAAACAAATAAAAATTATAAACCGAATATGTAAGTGGACACCTTAATTAACATTTCAAAAAAAAAAAAGATTAGTTTTGTTAATTAACTAGCATTGTTTTTAACGAATGAAGCTGAAATGGCGTCTTGAGGACGATTGTAACAATAAGTAAAGGGACAATTGTAACAGCTGAAAATAAAATTCATAACTTCAATTGCAATTGTTTAACCCCTTAGGTCCCATTTCTTATGCTTACAAACCATTACTTAACTCTTTAAGAGCCACCAATAGTTTCCTGTATCATTTATATCGGGGGCGAAGTTGAACACTTCACGATAGAACGAGGGCCGATACCGCGCTCTCTCGGTCCCTATGCAGGCTGCTTGTCACGCTTACTGACTACAGTAAGTGATTTCGAAGTTCTACTGGGGTCTTTACGATCGGTACACTTGATCCTACATAATATTTTATGTGGGGTAATTAGGATGATGTTATGATTTTGTATATAAATTGCGAATCGGAAAATAATTTGTTGACTGATGTATGGTGTATTGGTATTCTTGGACATGAGGAATGAAATTATAGCCCTAGGCATAAGATCGTTATGAATTATATTGACACTGTTTGTGGGTAAACAAAAAATGTATTTTATATAAACAGACAGAAACTGGTAATAAACAGAAAATGTGATTTATTTCCGGGATTGAAATAAGGGATATTTTAAAAGCGATGCTCTTCAGGTATGAAGCATAGAATCAATGAAAGAATGGAAGGCTTTTTCTTTTATTGCTTTCCGGCTGCTGCATTATATTAGGGGGTGATATGGTTTTAGAGGCCCTTTCACCAAGATTAATCTAAATATGTTCGATTGGGCTCATATCCAGGCAACATGCTGACTAATCTAATCCAAGAATTTCTTTATTGTAAAGGTGAAACATATTCGAACATTTCAATTCTATTTTACAGGAGATCAACTCCTTGTTACTTTTTATTTCTAGAAATATGTCAGCCTCATAAAACTTAAAAAGTCTTTAAGGATAATTAATAAAATCAAAGAAACAGTAATGAAAGAAATGGTAGTCACTTACTTGCATCTCCAAGAATCAAAATCTTGAAAACTACTTTCGGGTTATTAGCTGTCATATTTAATTACATTATCACCAAAACCGATTCATTTAAAAAGAAATAATTATTAAAATTAGAACTCCAATATTCTCACAAAAGTTATTTGCACTGAATGTAGAATTTACCTGATTTTGTAATCAGAAACCACATCACTAAAAACTATTTTTGAGTATAGAGAATAAAAGAAAAATGAACTGATTGATTAAGAACAAAGGGTTCCTCGTTTGATCAGATTTATCAATTTTAGATAACGGAGATAATCTCTGACATTTCAACCATGTAACTTCTGTATGTCGGAAGAAATATTACATGTTCGGAAAGATAAACTGATTCGACGTTTTACACTTTTCTGTTATTTCTGAATCAACGATAAAAATATAGTTGATTAGTGATCGTCGTTGAATTATATAATATTGAAGATGACTAACAGTGGACATGTGTTTTTTTCGGCGGTGAATGTGAGTCATCTTGATAAATGTTTATTACTTAAAAATATTTTATGATGGCAATGTTATGAGAGATAAAATAGTTTATCTATGCTAATAAAAATTCAACAATGCTTGTTTTTAATAAAATTCCTCGTTGTGCCATAAGCAGACGTATTAGTTATAAATATTATTTGAAAGATTAGGATAAATAAAATAACATTTTTTAAAAGTAGTTCAATAGCATTTATTGAAAAAATTTATCCAACTTAGGCATTGAGATTGAATTTTTTGGCTTGTCTTGTTTTAGATGGCGGTCTTCGAGGTTACTTACAAGTGATAAGAAAAACTGTAACTGAGTTGATGATCAAAGAAAGATAACATTTCCTTTAGTCAATAAATCTTTTATTATCTGAAATACAAACTTCCCTTTAACCGACTTATTTAGTTATTATTAAAATAAATAGTATAACAGTATTATGCAAACTGCAAGTATTTTGGGAAACTAAAATCGGCCACTTCTTCTTGGTGTTTACCTAGTAATGTGGTATACAAATAGAAGATAAGTAGGAGAAGAATAGAGAAACCTTCGAGAAGATGAATAGAGAAACCAGTGGTCGGAAGTAGTGAGCTTCTAGAAGAAAAACTACTCTGCTTGCTACTTTTTTTTTCTGTAGTTTGTAGTGAGTTACTTTTTAAAAGAAGTAGTGTAGTTTGTAGTGCGCATGCAAAAAACAGTAGTTTGAAGAGATTTCTGGCTACTACTTTTAACGTTTAGTAAAGAGACTAAGTTCAAACTCAAAATATTTTTCGAATTAGATATTTATGGTTACCATAGGCTTATGGTGTTTTGCCATATAAATGCCACTCAAATCTTTATGGTCACCATAGACCTATGGTATCCTGCCATACAAATTTCTTTGGTTGCCATAGGCCTGTGGTGCCATGCCATATAAATGCCATACAGATCTCTATGGTTACCATAGGCCTATGGTATCTTGTCATACATATTTCTATGGTTGCCATAGACTTATGGTGTTGCGTCATATAAATTCCATACAGATTTGTATGGTTACCGTAGGCGTATGGTATCTTGCCATACGAATTTCAATGGCAACCATAGGTCGCCCTAGATTACTATAGGTTTCTCTGTGGCAAATTTTCCTAGGAGAGGTGCAAATCCATTGCATATCCGTTAACGCACGCGATGAGATTGCCTCTTTGGCAAAGCGATAAGATCTATATCTGATACTCCAGCAAAAAAATTTTTTTTCATTTTGGTTGGCAGCAGTTTCTTTTTCTCCATATTCTTATATTGTTTCGTTCATTTTTTTCATTTGGAAATCGAACCATTAAGATTAAGTAACGCGAAGATCCGTTCGTTACACATAAAGTTATTCAGGATGGTCTGTTTTTAATTTTGCACTTTATATCTTGGAGGATATAAAAAAAGCATTTATCTCTTAAATATCAACTATTTGATAATTTCCAATCATTTCTTAAATTGAATATTTACTGTCGAGAAGAGAACAGAGTTTAAAGGTTAAAAAAGAACAAATTCTTAAAAAAAGTGCTTTGGAATAACAAACTGTATCATGTAAGCGTGAATTGACATTTCTTTCTCATATTTGACTAAGTCAATTTTTCAATCAAAACCATTTTGAATATCGGTGTAAAGTATGCTCTTCGGTAAAGTATGTCTAGTAAAAGTAGTGAAGTAGTAACTATTTTTCGAAAGTAGTTTGCTGCCGCTACATTTAAATAAAAGGTTGTTTTAGTTTACTACAATTGTATTAAAGTAGTTGTAGTGATAGTTAACTACGAAGAAAATGTAGTTTTTTTCGAACACTGGGAGAAACAAATTAATTTCGAAGCCTAACTAGTTTGCATCGCCAAATATGAGACCCCCGTTTCAAACGGATTTATTTATTTAAGCAAAATATCGATAAATAGTGGCCTGAAGTGAAATAATTTTCATTTATAATCATAGAAAACACCTGAATCGGCACATAATTAAATATTCGTTTCTCTCTTAAATATTAGTTTGACACTTCTGACTATTTTGACACTTGTATAAAATTACTCTTGCGTATTTTTTTTCCTGTATTTTTGACAAGGAATCTTAAGACATACATTGAAATAAATATTTAAGCTTTAAAAGTAAAATAAATATTATTAAAAATGCCTCTATAATGGCTATTGGTATTCCCGTTTGAGGCAATGGATTCTCTGTACAAACTATTTTGCTTTCAAAATAAATTTAGTTGGTTCTAAGCTACGTTTCATTAAGAACAATTCCCGATTTTTTTTTTTATTCGGAAGATTACTGGTTTACCGCAAGGGGTGGAGTCCTACTTAGGCCTACATAGAACTCAAAGTAACTTTTAATTCTTTTGCTAAAAACAAAGCCGAAAATAATTTCTAATTTCTATCAAGAAGTAAAATACAACGAATAAAAACAGAACTTTTTAATATCTTTTGAACTAAGGATCAAATTTTTACATTTTTAGATAATTGTTAGTAATCATTTGAGTGACCTACACTCAACATTTGCGAAGACTTTATCTTAAAGTACGAAATCAGACACAAAAATGTACTTTCTGTGTACAAAAATACCATTTTTTGACGAATCTGGATTTTTTTTTGTATCTCAAATTATGGGAGTTTATCGCATATTATTGAAAATGGGGTTTATATAGTTTAGGTAGGAGAGCTGTGGAAAGTTTGATCTCCCCTTCATGTTAATATACCTTTTGGAATATTTAGCCATATTTTTATAACTATTTAAGATAAGCAAATAATTTTTCACTCGATTATGAAAATCGTTTATAGAAAGTTTTTTTTCTTTCTATGATGTGCACAAATGTTTAATACGGAGATATCGCACTTTTATGTTAGCTTCCGCACTCTCCCGTACGTAAGATTAAAGCAACTGCGCATGCTCGCGTTTGTTTTTTAGATGTTACGTATCTTAACGTTATGTTGCCGTGATTTACGCTACCTAGACAGAACTGCAAGCGCTCTGTTTATAGTTGTTAAATGTTACTTTCTACTCAAGCCTAAAAACATGAACATGAAATGCGAATGTGAAAAAAAAAAGTATTGGTGAAATTTATAAATAAATAATTGTGTGATCTTACAACCTTTGGTTCATTCAATGAAAAAAATAATTTTATTGGTTTTTGCTTAGCATTATGGTTGTCTAATTGCACTTGTTCCATAAGAAACTCTATATATTTTCGCTATTTTAAAATCATAAATTACATTTATATTTTAACTTTGTAATTTAGTTAGAAAAAGTGAAATGATCAATAGAAGTTCTATAAATATTTTTTAAATACTAATACTATTAATAATAATAATATGTTGCATTCTTTATCACTGAATTCACCAGAATCTATAATCTACCCAAGTTTTCTTCTCACAGAATCGAAGTTTTACGTAGAGCAAAACATCTTGAATCGTATGCCACGGCTTTAAAGAAATAGTCCGCATCCATTGTAAATGTTTGTTCGGATTTTATGGTCAAAGTTAAAATAATATTCCACTACGTTCGAGTTCTTAACTTACGGATTTTTGCAAAATCTCTTATTTTTCACCTACGCAAATTTGATATTTTTTCATCGCAATGTTTGATAATTTTTCGCATTTCACCAGAACTGGCGCATGCTCACTAGAAGAGCGCATGCGCAATTGCTTGAAATCTTACGTACCGCAACATACGGAGATTAACGTACATTTTCGAAACTTTCCTAATGATGCATATTTAAACTCAGCTATCCAAAATTTGAAGGGTAATAGCAAAACAGTTAGTAAAAAATAAAAATCTGAGAAAATAACTTAATAACGTAATACAACGTAAAGAAAGTGAACTTAGCATTAAGGACACTGCTCTTCTGCCACTATGGCACTATGTTTCTATTGCCACTATGCTTTCCAGATTTGTTAATATTTTTCTCAAAGGCAAACTTTTACAGTGTGTTACCGATATTACAGCTCTAAATGTACAGTGTTTAAGTCGTTGAAAAATCCTTAAAAATTCCTTCAATCCTTGTGAAGTCACTTTATAAAATCTTTTTTATAATTCGATGAAATGAGGTGGGGCTGAAACCGAATCAGTATCAAAATCTGTCATGTATTGAGTGATGGAGACAGGATTGAAAACATGTTGATAGTCCGATAAGACATGGAAGTATTTTCCCGCTTTTTTAACTCACTTCTGCTTCAAGTGAAAATCAAATAGGCTAAAAATAATTACGTAAGCTTTAAGATTTCTAATTGAAAATTTAGCTTTATTGTCTGAAATTACGTATATATGTGCGGGTAAGAAAAAAAGATTTATCATAATCCGGCGGATTATTTTTAAGGTCAATCAGATAAAAAGACGGAAAAAATTATTCAAAAGCTAATTTATTTGTAACTTGAAACTAAAAATTATTACCTTTTTCTAGTCAACTCTATTTTAGTCTCGTTAAAAATTTTTTTTTTGCTGATTTCAGTTTGGTTTTGGCTTTGATTGATCTCTAAAATGTTTCGTCACTTTTTGAAAATATTTCGTCTTTCCTTTCACTTTACTATCATTATTAGGTTTTTACGCCTTCTTTTTAGAAAAATTAAGAGAACAGGTAGTTTTGATGATGATTTCAGAACACCTTACGTATTTGTTGCAATTACTTCGTCAGATATTTTATGTAGCTATTAACACATCAATAACTTTGTATTTTAGGCATATGAATGTTTTTATTACATTATTTAGTATTTAGAGTACGAAACATACACTATTTTTACAATCACAAAGTAACCAATCTGTGTATATGTACAGCAGTTTTTTCGTTCCTTTTTTGACATAAATAGTTCTTAAATATCAGATAACGTGTGCTTTCGTGTCGCTACTTTCGAAGTAGCTGCAGCAACCTTTCTTCACCCTCTGGTTTTCTCGGTTCAGATATATTTTACGAACGTCCAACTCTTCGTCATTTTCTCTGTAGAGTCTGGTTGTCTCATCCGGTTCTGCAGCAGCTTTTTTCCTGTCCTCCAACATCATTTCGGTCAATCTTTGAAAAACCTGAAATCAACAATTTTAAATGAATGCATTAGACATACTTATTAGTTATGGGATACCTGCAAGTGACGTAGTGTGGGTATGTCGATACTGATAGGTTGGTTACGTTTGCAACTGTTCTTTCCATTCTATTTCGAGTAAGCCCGTCAAGTAACAATTCTCATAAATGACACGTTCTATATTCTTACACACAAAGATTATTTTTATAAAGATTTCAATTCTTTTATTATATATTTCTTACTTATCACAAAGACAGGCACGAAGCCATGTAGAATATAAACAAACTAATTGCGCATCGAAATTGCCAGGTACACGAAACAAAAATATATCACGGTTACACTAAAATACTTAAACAAATAATAAATCTAAGTTAAGTAAAAGACATAGACGAGATAGGATTATATTTCTACACTTTCGATGTGCGATATGGCAGTGTATTTAATCCACATTCAAGTTAAAGTTCTGACTTATGTGGAGAACATTATCTCAAATTTAACTCGCCATTTTGCTTATAAACGAGCAGCTGATCTTCTTCTTATTGCACTGCAAGTACCCAATTGAATTATTAGTGTTAACTATTGCGAACCTTAAATAAACGTTTAATAACTAAGTAAACTTTGGGCCGATTTTCCAGTTCTATGAAGGATCGAACTCCAATCTGCTTGTTTCACCTCTTCATACTTTAACTCTCTTGCGAAGGTAACTCTCTTCAAATATTTGATTACAACAGGGGTAATTGGATATCACAAAGATCTTTAGTCTTTCAGGAATAAGCTATACTGGAAATGGTAATTATTGTTTGAGACTCTATAATTAGCATTATAAGCTCATTATTAAGAGCTATGCAGGAAATTGTTAATGCTCTTTGGCACCTTGGAGAACGAAAGGGGATCAAATATAAATAAGACTTTTTAATAACAGTAGACGATTTTTATTCCTATTGTCGTGTCAACAATAGAACTTAAAATGTAATCAAAAATTTTTTTTGGCAGTGTTTAGTTCTTTAAAAGTTTTTTTTAGTAGCTTAAATCACGAGTGAGCGTAATGTTCTTAATGCTGTTGCACAATGAGGAATAATTAAGTTTTTAAAAATCGATAACTTATAAATATGTTATCTGTGAATGACAGAAATGGGTGGTTGTTGACTTCCAACGGTAAATGTTGGCAATCACATAGTCGCTTTGGTAAATGTCCGAAATATACACTAGGTCTAGTTACCGGCACAGTTTGGCAAATCTATCCTGTCGAGGTCTAGAGTATGCAAATGGTGCAACTTATTTAAACAAGGCCACGAGGAAGGCGAAAGCTTCCTGCACTTCAATCAAGAACGATTCTTACAACAGAGAAATCTGGTCAAATTTGTGACCTTATTTCTACTGACTGACAAAGTAAAGTTTGAGAAATTAATGCTATAACAAAGACTGGTCGAATGCTGCGAAGCATACTTCATAACGATTTGAAATATCGAAAAATCTCAGAGAGGTGTGTGCCTAGAATAGTAAGCACAAATCAAGAGGAGGACAAAGAAAAGACATAGTGCTCTTGCAACAGGACAATCCGACACCTCATAAAGCCGTTGCAATGCAATAAAAATTACAGGCATTAGACTAAGAAATAGTGGAACATCCTCCATCTAGCCTGGACTTGGCATCTTTAGAGTGCTATTTGTTTGGACTCCTTAAAGAAGTCTTAGGCTCAATATAGTGAACTAAACATAGGTGTCTAATACGCTAAGCTAAAATGAAGTCATAATCAGTATTAGTGATTTCCAGCTTCGTTTGTGTAAAACTTATTTATCATATCTTATTTCACCAAACATAAAATAAAATCATCAAAATTTAATTATGTGCAATCTAATTATATCTATTTAAAATGTTTTCATGTGTGTACCTCTTTGACATTGACGTCATCTTTGGCACTGGAATGGTAGAGGTAGAGCCTGTGTTCTTCTGCAAAATCTTGAGCCAGTTCCTCTAGCACTTCCACCTGGCTGCTCTCTTCACTCTTGTTGCCAACTGCCCTTTTTCGATGCGAGAGAACAATTCAAACAACTTTCAATAATAATGTATCACATTCTACTTACATAACACATTTAAAGTGTAACTGAGGCAAATACGCAAGCTGAACGATCTGCAACGTTCTTGTTGGTAAATAAATAGTTACTTTAATATATTATATTTATTTTGTTCGCGTAACCTTTAAAGTTCTCAATTGAAAACCCCTTCAGGAAGGAGAAAGAAGTGCTTCTCTCACGCTTCGAGAGTCTAAGTACGGAAGAGTAAGCATACCCAAGTCAAAACTCTTGAGGGTCCCCATCAAAAAATTTTGATGGTTTATGTTGGTTTCAGTGCTATTCATGATGGTCAGCATCCTCCAGCATTTTCCATTACGTGTTCATGGTTTTTGATATGCCAACAAACTTCCATCATTCCATAATGGAAAGTGCTACTTTAATACTATGATGGTTACTCATCAAGAGGAGTATAACTCTCATGGATCAACAATCCATGATGATTTCATCTATGCATCTCCATGATGGTTTAATAGGAATTCTTGTTGGTTATCAGGAATATACCATCAAAGCAATTTGGGTGTTTTTTTATGTTGGACCATCATAAAGCAGTTCCACATTAAGGTGATGGTTGTTCATGATCGTTTCTACATTTGATTTCTAAGATACTATAATGGAAATATCTGATGGTTCAACATGAACAAACCATCAAAACAAGTTGCTATTCTTATGTTGGACCATCATCCGAATTACTACATTGAGGTGATGGCTACTTATGTTGGCCACCATCAAGAAGTATAATGGTTCATGATGGAATCAATGATGGTTATTATCAAGATTATGCTGGTCCATCAATGGAAAACCATAAAATTTTTTGACTTAAGTACGTACGAATATGTGAGTACCGAATTTAAATCACATGTGTGGGATCTTGGCCCTCTAGAGTGAAAAAAACTCGTTTTATATATGATACCATGGGCCTTGGATGGAGAATAGTGCAATCTCGTATGTGTGATGATAACCTTGAGAGGATTAAAAACTATTACTCCTTTAATTGATTTTTTTCCTAGTCTTATTCCTAAGTGATGTTTCTTCGTGGGAGTTTCCGAAGCTAAATTGAAGTCTGAGAGAGCTACGCCAGGACGTTAAGGTGTTTAGGAAACCATTGGTACCTTTTATTGGAAGGGAGTAAAGGAAAAGGTCAAGGGGTAATTTATAATTGTCTGCGATTTCAGTTTGGGATTTTTTAGAATGTTTAATGTCTGCCATTAAATGAACACGCCGTTAGCAGTCTGAGTTCAAAAACTTTCATGCACGCGTATTTTCCTTAGTGGTATTTGTTGATGGTCTTTCAGAACGTACTTCATAGCTAAAATCACCAAGAACTGTCTTGTTTCATTGATAATCTCGGAAATTCAAACATACAATCAATACCAAGGCTCAAAAGACAAAGGGTTCGCCTACCCATGACGTTAGAATCCCATCAGGGGTTGGAAGATACAAATTCTGCTCCCGGTTCTCACCGACTAGAGTGCTGACGTAAAATATCCTTAGTGGTAGATTGATCATGAATTAGAACTTCCCTTGTCGTTGGGCTAATCGTGGGAAGTTTTCGTGAATTTCCTCATCATGTTACGCAAAGGTGGGTTAGTTCCATTCGAAAGCCCGTCACGAAGACTGATACTCTGATACTTGATCCAGGAGTTCCCTTGTCTTCTGGGTTGGGTTCAAAACTATATGTCTGACATTGATATTCTTAAACTCGGAATTGGGTCCATTGTTCAATGTCAGTTATAAAATAAAATAAAACAATTATCAACAAAAACTTCCTTTATTGGGGAAAAAGCATTTATCATCAACTTACCGAGTTTCACACAAAACTTGATGACAATCCATCGAGCGCTACCTTGTGGCTTTACACTACAAATAAAAAGAGTTTAAAAAATGTCTGTCTTATCTCCCTGGATAATCTGTAACAATTAAGTGCCGGTCAGGAGTTCGCTGCCCTCTTTACTGATACCCAGCCGGTCTGAAATGGGTGGGATTTCATTGAGCCTTACAATAAATTGAGTGATACTACGTTTCGCACACATATTTTGTTTGTCTTTTTTTATACTGACCTCTTTCACATCATGGTCAATATCACAGGTTTTGAAAATCCGACACTTACAGAGAGGATTAGTTGGATATTGAGAGGACAAGGTAATTCTAGTATTACTAATAGTTGGTGAAAGTCAATTGTAATTAAAAAAGACAAAGGGTTTTTCGTAGTTTTTAATACGCGATTTAATCGAAGGAAAGACATGGTGAAACTTTTGTACTCTGCTAAATATCTCTCTCTCTCTCTGTATATATACATATATATATGTAGCATAATAAATAAAAACAAAAAACACGAAGAAAATTAAGAAAACATTTGAAAACATCTACATAGTCATCTGAATCGTGAAAGCTGTAGTTAACTAGTTAACTTACATAATGAAAAGCAGATGATTAGATTATGAGTAGTTTGCCTAGAAATTTACTCTAAATACTCACCAAGGAAAACTGGTATTCCGGCCAGGTTTTCCCGAGTTTCTTTGAGCCACCAAAACACTTCATCGAAGGTTTCCTTTTTGGTGACATCATACATCACTATAGCACCATTCGCTCCCCGAAAAAACCTGTCAGAGATATTTTATGTTACATAAGCTTTTATTGTTTGAAATACTTCTTTAATATACAGAATTCTTTAACAGATGAGCACATTCATTCAATTACCTCTGAACAATAATGAGTTAGGGTATGATAAGATTTTGGTAATTTGTTGTTTAATAAGTGCTCAATTTTTTTAATTTTTCTCTATATATCATAAAATAGTAATGGCATAAAAGTGTTTTTCAATGCTGTCGGTACGTTCTTACGGGCTAAAAATTTACTTTATATAGGGTAAACCAGCCAGTGAAGGAGCACTACCCAGTGAAAGAACATTTCATATATATTGATAAAAAATAAGAATTTAAAAGTTTTTCTTTAGATTGATTGGTAACAATAGCTTACTGCCAAACAATAGGAAGTCATCTAGCAATGTTTTGGATTACCTGGTCAAATAGACTTCTCTGGAAAAATTTTTAAATTTGTTATTATCTCTGCAGCATCTTGTTTCTTTGAAAAAATTATAAGCTGAGGGTTTGTATTTATATGTTTGAAGTGGAATTAATTGCATGTAATAGTTTTATTTTTCTCACTATGAAGATATCAATTCAAAATATAGTTATTGAAGTTGCGTTTTATTTTTTTAAGCATCATAGCATAATAAAGTACTGAGATGAGGGGATGTTTATTCAATGGATCACCAAACGATGAAAAACCAGAGAAGGAACAAATGTTCCTTTACTGTTTTTTTTCTAAGTTAATGAAAATGAAGGAAAAACTTTAATTTTCTTGTACCTTTAGTGATGTTTTGCATCAAAAGTATGTTAAAAATACAAAAAACAACTTCTAACCAGTGAAGGAACAGGCATTTTCCTTTACTGGGCATAGATTTCCCAGTGAATGAACAGTATGGGTTAATATGTTGACACTTTACTTTTCAATTCATGATTACAAAAAAACTTTACATTTTCCAAGTGTTTGTATGTTATAATTTCAATAATAGGTTTGTTTTTAGATATTTGTATGGCATATAAATTCATAAAGAGCATTAAAAAGTAACCAAAATTAAGAGTTCTTTTAGTGGGAAATTTCGTGTTCATTCAGTGGTAAGAGCTGTTCCTTCACTTGGCCTTCTCACTACTTGTTATTTTAACCTCCAAAACTTTAGAACAATATTATGTAAGTTCTCTACAATTTTTTTTTTTACATAATTTTCAATTAGTAGCAAATATGTTGACACTGCCATTTAACTAAAATTACGAATTTTGAAATTAATATGATTTTTTAAAAGGAAAGCGAAGTTTAAGTGTTCCTTCACTGGTTAGTTTACCCTATTGCTGTTTTTTTCACGTGAAGATTTTTTCGGTGTACTATTCTTGAAACTGTTCATTGATTACAGCACGGTTAACAAAGAAAATACACACTAGAAATGCTCACTGAATAGGGAAAATGCACACTGTTCAGTTTTCAACAAGTTTGTAACTTATTTATATTGTAGCGATTTTCGGAAGAAAAGACTACGACTAAAAAGAGTAAGAAAAAATATTTAAGGACGGCGATTCTGCAACTTCGCGCACGCACGCCCGCACGCACACACACAGATATATATATATATATATATAAC